GTTCTCACAGCACTGAGTGAAAGAAAGTAAACCAGAGTGCACCTTACAAAAGCCAGGTATCATGCAGAATTATCTTTATTATGGTTCCATTATATTATGTTAACATCTCCATGTTTATATCTTCAAAGACGCTGTAATACGGTATAGAAAAGAATAGTCTTGTATCTTCAGAAATAAGTCACTGAAGATATTTTCAAAAAAACAAAAGCGGAATTTGTATGCAGTATCTGCTTAGCTCCCAAAGGATCTTCAGCTGAAATTTTCTTTTAAAGGATGAAATTAGCCTTAGTAAGTTGAAGTACAGTTAGAGAGGGTCAGGTATGCTCACTTGCCTGAGAGAGTTCGCGAAGACTTAAATAGTCCTGTTGCTCCTACACTTATTTCTGTTCCACATTCCTTTCTCTTGCCATTTTGAGGTAGTAATTTAACATATATGCTGTTGCAAAGGTAAAGATATTTTGTTTATGAAGAGTGTATGCTTTAATTGGGTATAGCTTCTTACCTGCAAATTCTTCGAAGCTAATATGATACATATTCTACGCATTTTAACTATTAAGAGAAATTAACATTGGTATTTCCTGTATTTGTTTTTGCTTCAGCATAAATATGCCGTTCAACGTTCTTCTAAATATAGTTTTATAAAATATTGCTGTGATTGGGTTCTGCTTCCGCAGCAGGCGGTCCCTGAGTTTGTGCGGGAAAAATGGCCAGAGGCATCTCTGTATTTTGAACGTTCTTCTTTTTATTATTAAATTCAACTCAACTGTCTCAAATGGATCCATCAGATTCAACTCTGGAAATATTCTCTAACTTTTAACTTTAACATCCAGAGTTATCAAGTCACTCCTCACAGAGGGGCCGACCAAACCGCTCTCTGTCTGTCATCGGCCTCAGCGGGTACTCCTCACGGCACAAGCTGTCCCACAACAGGGGTGTCTCGCCCAGTCCCCCTCGCACGGTTGATGGGGTAAAGAGGGACTGGGACGGATCACCCTCCTCCCCCCATGCTGATTGCAACCACGATCCATTCTATGGGCTCCAGGTCATCACCTCTCGCGCGGTATTCCTTAGGGTCTGGCAGCAACCCACCTCCAAGCTGAAGGTTTGGAAAGTCCTTTATGAGTCCATGCCACTCTCCGGATCCGCCGCTCAGTTCCGTCTGTACCACCCGATCTTTTCTCTCCGGTTGTTTCCCACTAGTCACAAGTCTACATTTGCGCACGTTTCCCCACTCATTTATAACCTCCTCCCAGATAATCAAGTCCAGCTCCTCCCCTTTCTCCTCAGCTAGACACACCTCCAGTGACCCCTTCCATCCCTCGCTTCCCTGATCTATATCCACTAACACTCCCTCCACGCAGCCTTGACTTTCCTCCGGCTTCTGCTCTGTGGAGGACGGCACACTGGCCTTCTCTCCTTCACAATTGCCCAGTTCCTAAAATTTATCTAGCTTTGTTCTTTCCTTCCAAGGGAAAAATTGAACATATGTGCTGGTTTTATATAAGCTATTAAATTTGGAAGCAATCTTCTGACATCTAGAAGTATACTTTAAAAAAAGATGGCAAGAATCCTGTTGGTGATTTTTGCATATGCACATAATTTGTGTAACTCATGACAATGAATTGGTCCTAACAAGGCACCCATCACATTACTAGGTACAGTGGTGCCCCACTTGATGATTACCTCATTAGACGAGGAAATCACTTTACGATGAAGTTTTTGCGATTGCTTTTGCGATCGCAAAACAATGTTTTAATAGAGAAAAACCACTTTACGACGATCGGTTCCCTTCTTCGGGAACCGATTTTTCGCTTAACGACGATCTTTACAGCTGATCGATAGGTCTTCAACATGGCCGCCCACTGTGCAAAATGGCTCCCTGCTTTATTTTAGAACAGATTCCTCTCATTACAGGCACTGGAAACTGGCCGCCCTATGGAGGATCTTCACTGGGTGCTGAGGTATTTTGCCCATTGGAATGCATTGAACCGGTTTTAAATGCATTTCAATGAGATTTTTACTTTCGCTTGACGACGATTTCATTCTACAGCAATTTTGCTGGAACGGATTATCCTCATGAAGCGAGGCACCACTGTTCTTACCCATGTGTAAATCACCAGTAGAATTCTGACCATTTTTTCAAAGGGCTAATTGTCTAGCCAATGAATCTTATTTTCCATGAAACTAAACTTTTTAAAAAAACTTTTCTGATTGCTTGAATCATATCCAGATGTCACTCCTTTTTGTCTGCAGAACCTTTTTTTCCCATTTACAGTTTCTAGTATTACCTTGGTGTTAGAGTTACCTCCGTTTTCTCCCCCTCCTCCTAACCTTTGGCCCATGTAAAACATGTATGGCTACTATTTTAGAAAGTAGTTTGTTTCTTTTGGATTGCTAGGATGATATAGAAGGCCTTCAAAGGATATTTGACAGTTTCACTTTTATATGCCTGAGTTTAATATGTCAAGTGAAGTATATAAAGCATTTTACTTTCATCATGGTGCTCAGTTCAGATTCGGAATGTAGTACCTTGTTTTTAATAAAAGGCCTTATTGATAAACTTCTACTTCTACTTGAACCAAACTTTTAAAATGTGAAAATAAGGTACAGTAATAGGAGTTTAGCTATATGAAAGTGTGATGTCTATAAATTATCCATATGAATAATGAACTGGTCATATTTCATGACCAGTTCATAGACTACTACTACTGTCTTTTTGTAGAGTCTTCTTCTTGCAGCAAATTTTAATAAATTTATGGACTTAAAACAATTATATAAAGCTCAAGCAATATGTTACTAAATTTTATAGATTCTTGTCAGTGTAAGTCAGCAGTGATGTACTGTGGAAAAATTTTAAAATATTTATATGTGGCTTACACTTTTCCTGTACATGAGTATTTACCAGTTTTTTTGAAAAATTTTCTCCTTTTAAGGAATAAAAATGAATTTAATTCAATTTTAGACTCTTTTTTGTGTGTTCATTATATACATGCCACAATTTTGATGATGCTCATACTTTGAAAATCATACATTAATGTTAACATGTTCAAAGTTGGCCCTTCATACTCCCAGCTGATAGTTGTGTTATGTACATGTGTCCTTAATTCAAGATGTGTAAACCAATCAGGATTGTGTCCCCAAAGCTGCTTAGGAAAGCCTAAATTATAGAGAATTGATTGGCCAACATAAAATCACTACATAACAGTTGAAAAATCATAAATTTACAGGTTTTCATGGAGAGAGAAAATCTAGGTTTAATATCATCCTGCTCATACTGGCCAAAATCCTGTTCATAATATAAGCCAAGCTGTAATTTTCTGTCCATTCCTCCCTGGTAAACAAAGTGTCCTGTTATGATTTTTGGGGGGTGGGCATGGACATGCATCAAACCAGCATGTATCCAATCCCAAGAGATTTGTGGCAAGGACACCTTGTTTTCCAGGGAGGAATGGATAGAAAGTTATAATTTGGTTTATACTATGAACAAAATTTCAGCCATTGAGGAAATATTGACTGATATTATATCGGTTTGAGGTTACACTGTAAAAACTGTAGTATTTACACTAATAATAATGGAAATTTTAACGAGATATTTGAAAAGTACCATCTTCCAAGCAATGAAATAAACACAGACTGTTACAGAAAGTCCAAGCAAATAAATTCATCTTTAGTTAATCCCTTATGGCTTAAATACAGCACCTATTGATCCATGTTCTTGATTCTTTCCTATAAGATGCTTTTGGTTCCTGTAATCATTGCCAGGGATTTTACGATAGCTTCAGTCTCACAGATCTGTGTGGTTTGTAGTATTCTGACAAGATCCCCAGAAAATATAAGGTCAGATATTTGAACATTAGTAGCTACAGAAGCTACCACAGAACAGTACGCACATCTTGGTCTTTAGCTTTAACTTCCAGTCTTGGAATCAAAGTGGTTAACTGTAGGACTGAGTTCAGATTGTTCCGCTTCACAGGTTTAAAATTTTATAGAGATGCATGAATATCTTTCATTTCTATTAATAATTATAGTGCTTCTCTATATAAATTACATATTTATATTAATTGTCAGTATTCCTGACCAGTTTAGTAAGTATGATAAACCATGGAAATACAATAATGCATTGATAAAATGCACAAACCCTTCCTCTTTATTTAAAATGTAATAATGAGACTGACATTTAGATGATTAAAATAACAGGGAGGGCCAGGAAAGTATGGGAAAGTAACTAATGGATTGTGCTGCATATGATTAGGTTCAATACTACCTTTAAAAATACTGCCTTTTTGGGATAGTGTCAAATGTTTAATGCATTCTGTGAAACAACCATTTTTAACTTAATTCAAATTTAGTAATTGAATAAATAGTGATTGAAATCCTACTGTGCAGTTACACAAATGGTGCAGTTTTTGGAAGTGAATTGCTGCAAGTTAAGAAATCTCCCTAGATTGTATCTGTTGCATATTGAGTTGCACAACTCAGTGTTCAACAGATAAAAGCCTATGAAGATTTCTTAACAATAATTTATATCTGAAAATGCACCTGGAAGTTATGTTGTTTGAGTAACTACACAACAGGATTTGAGCCATAATTTTTTTGCTCAATGGACTGAAAGGAGTTAATCTGAAATAAAAGGATTGACTGTGTAAATTTAAATTTAAGCATTGAATAAGCCTTTATAAAGGTGCAATCTTTATGTATTTTCCCAAGCTGCCACCTGTTGTAAGTGCAGCAGTAGTAAGACATTTATGCAGATGAGTATGAAGAGTGTCTTAATAAAACAAAGTGGTAAAAGAAGAATTCTGTATGAGGCATATAATGTTAAGTGTCTCAAACTGAAAGGCATAAAGTGTTTCAAATTGACTTTAAAACTAGAAGCGCTGATAAGAAACATAGACAAAGGCACTAAAATTGGCCCTTTTCCAAAAATATGCAATCTAAGCTGAAGAAGATGAGACTTGTATGGGTTTTATTGTGATCTAATTTTGTTTCATGTTCAACAGGAAATCCATTGTTCTCTTTTGGATTGGATTCAAATAAATGCAGATAAAACAGGATTAATCACATCCAGCAAAGTGTCCCTTAAGTTTGTATCATTGGATGGCTCACAGATGGAGGTAACACCTTTGCTCATGCCAGTAGTTACTGAGACGGACACTTTCTCATCTGAACATTTCAGCTTTGAGAAGTATAAGCAAAATCTACACACAAAGAGACTTGGGAAAGTGGTTCTGTTTGCTGAAGTTACATCAACTACAATGGATCTTCTTGATGGGTAAGAAATCTTGCTAGTGATTAATTTCATGTCGTATACATATGCATATTACATGTACATAGGCAAAAACAAAAAGGAATATTTTGTTGGACTTCTCATTCTTCTGGATTACTGAAAACAGGCCTAACATAAGTGGACATGAACCCTAGCAACTGATTGAAATGGCTGCTGAAAGAACTTGTTTATTTAATTTATTTGTTTCATTTATAGGCCACGTGTCTCCCAACAAAGGACTCAAAGTGGCTGACAGTGTAAAACAAATAAAACAAAATTGATTATATATTAAAAAACAATTAAACCATAATAGTCATTAGAATACGTTAGATAATTTAAAAGGATTAATACTTCAAAAACAACTCCCTCAACTAAAAAGCAGAATTCAGGAACACAGTTGTGATTATAAAAAGCCTTCCTGAAGAGATGGATCCTCAATTGTCAACAGAAAGACAAAAGGGAGCAGGCCAACCTAACTACCCACAGTTAGCCAAATGATTACTTATTTAGAAATAGTGCCATAAAATCACATTTTTTTGTACTTAGCAAACTACAACAATAACAAGAATACGTATAGTTTACTATAGGAAACTTAATCTGTATTTTGGATGTGTCATCCCAGAGTATACAGATGTCACAGTGCAAGCTTTCCTTCTTGGAACAACAGGAAAAAGGCATGTTTTCATATTACAGGATACTGGATAGAGGCTATTGTTTCCCCAAATAAAGTTTCAAAAGTGGTAGAAATGATGGGACCACTTCTTTTAGTTTTAATGCACTTTGATTAAAGGTACTTCTCCCTTTAATCTGTCTTATAAAGTTTACATTCATATATCTTTTAAAGCATGGGTGGACAACATGCAGCTTACAAGGCACATGCCCCGCTGTTGTGGGGGGCACCTTTTCTCTAGACTAAAGAACCCCAAATGCTGTAGCCTTTCCTCGTAAGGGAGGTGCCGCAGCCCAATCATCATTTTAGTCGCTCTCTTCTGCACCCTTTCGAGTTCCACTATGTCTTTTTTGAGGTGTGTCGACCAGAACTGTACACAATACTCCAAGTGTTGCCTTACCAGCATTTTGTACAATGGCATTATAAAGTTGGCTGTTTTATTTTCAATCCCCCTTGATGCCACCTTGCATTGTATATATGTTATGATGCATGTAAGCTGAGCATTCGAGTTTGTCCCCATTATTATGAGTTCTTTTGCTCCCTCCATCTATAGATGGTGTATGTGTCCGTAGCTCAGTCCCTGATTGTTACGTATTTAGGGATACTATTTTTGTATTTTGTTGTGGTGTATTTTCCCCCCTTTTGGCTGAACACACATTCAAAATGGCGACTGCTTTGCCAGCACAGTGGCAAAATAGGTATTTTCTGTTTAGTGTAATGTATGCATAGAATTGCCAAAGAGGTGCATGTTTTTTTCATAACGATGGAATAAATTAAAACTAAATAATTACGATGAATATTTATGTTGAACTTAAACTAAATGTCTGTTGTGGATAATATATTAGTTTCAAATGCCACATCATTGATCAAGTGAGCTAGATACTTATGTGAGCTAGATACTTGCGTTATATATACAGAGCAGTCTTTTGTTAAATTCTGTGATACTTGAATGGCGCTGTGGGCCGCAGAAGCCTGTGCTGCAGGGTCAGAAGACCAGCAGTTGTAAGTTCGAATCCACGCGACGGAATGAGCACCCGTCGCCTGTCCCAGCTCCCACCAACCTAGCGGTTCGAAAGCATGCGAATGCGAGTAGATAAATAGGTACCATCTCGGTGGGAAGGTAAACAGCGTTCTGTGTCTAAATCACACTGGCCATGTGACCACGGAAAGATTGTCTTCGGGCAAATGCTGGCTCTATGGCTTGAAGAGCGGGGTGAGCGCCGCCCCCTAGAGGCGGACACAACTGGACAAAAATTGTCAAGGGGAACCTTTTACCTTTATAATTGTTTAATGATCCCTAATACGGAATTTCTGTTTTTTTGCTTATCGGTTGAGATAGAATATGAGTGGCTCCTGCATTCCCTGCCCTGATGATGCTGAGAGTAGCTGCAGAAACAGACTCCTTTATTGAGCAAAGGAACTTTTAAAGTGCCAACAGGGCCATTAACCAAAACAAACAACTCTGGGTGCCAGACAGTTAACCTCATTCCCTTCTTGGGGTGCTGCCCCTGCATAGTCTTTACTGATGGGTGCAGAGCCCTGCCACCTCTACCGGGTTGAAGACCCCTCGCAGGTAGTCCAGGCACGAGGCCCCGCAGGAAGGGTATTGGATGCACGCCGTCAGGTGTCCATGGAGACAAGTAGCAAAGACTCCCTCCCCCACTACTCTCCCTTGATCCCTCTTGGTGGCCCATAAGTGTGGTAATCCACATGGGCAGCTCACTTGAACTCCATATGGAACTTGACTGGTGTTTCTTGCATAGTAAGACAGAGGACCGGGAGGAGCAGGACACCAAACCTCTTGGGGCTTAGAGTGAGGATGGCTGGGGGGCTTCTCTGACAGGGCTGCTTGCCCCTGGTGCTTTTTCTGCTAACAATGGGCCTGTTGCTGATTCTAAAGCATTTGAGCCTCTTGCTGCCTTCCCTGGTGCTGATGGACCTGATCAGCTTCCTCTGGCAGCATCAGCAGGTCCACTAAATTGCCGATTTCAGGATTATGCCAGAGGACCATCTTCCAGCTGGCCTTCAACTTCAGCAGCAGAGGCAGCACCTCCTGCACCTCATTCGCCTCCAAAGCCACTCCATTGGTTCATCAGTCCTCTCCTCATGTCTCTCGCTCCTCCTTAAGTCCAAGTGCCATCATGACCACACCTATGGTTCAAGGGCGCTGTCTGCCTCCACCCCACCCAACAGCCCAGTCCACAGGTGAGCTGCGGGTAGGGAATCCAGCCGACACTAAGAGGTGGAGAGCCCCCTCTCATGGTGGTGGTAGTGTTCCTCAACAGTCTCACACAGGGTCATTTTAGATTGTCTACTGTTATTTAATTTGAGATTGTATTGAAACATACAATAGAAAACCAGGTTTCTATGTTTCTGTGGAAACATCAGCTGTCTTCTAGGCTGAGTTGTCTAGCTTTCCTTGCTTAATTCATATTTTCTTAATATACATAATTTTTTTTATTTTGTGGATTGCCATGAGTCTTATGAAAACTGACAACTTGTTACTAATACTGATCCCTGCTAATTACAAAAATATTTAAAATAACTTTATAGAAGTATATGTGTTTATGATATATTACTCAAATCTGTAAAAAATTAGAGAGAGAGAGAGAGAGAGAAAGAGTCATTATACTTAAGGTTATGTGTGGCCATTTAGGATCCTGGTTTTATGAGTCGTTGTAGACAATATTTTGTTCTGTAGAACATCTTGTTAGTGATATTGGTAAAGCTAAGCAGATGTCTGCATGGCCACAGGCTGGGTAGATTATTCATGAGAATATTTCTGAAAGGAAGATGTATAATTAATATATAAACCTATGGGTAGTCCCCTCTTTGTGCAAAAGACAGGAAATGAGAAGAGCAGGGGGTGGGTTGTAAGTATTGACCAGTCCTGCCATATTTCTCACTCCTGCTCACTTTTTTCTTTCTTTTCCTCAGCTCTTTTTGTCATATCACCTGACGGTTTAATGCTTCCATGACCAAAAATCAGTTTTTCTGTCAATAATGCCAATACATGGGAGCCAGTATTAGTTATAGGAAAAAGTGTACTTACGAAGTGCCATAGCTGAGCAGTATAAGAGAAGAGGATAATACATAACTTCTAGAGCACATCAAAAATATTAAATATGGACCAGGGATTCTTAGCTCGCTATATATATTAGTCCACAGTTATCTCCTTTCCCATCTTGTATATGGGCTTAACTCTGGGAACTGATAAACTGTGCTTGATTATGCAGGGTTGACTCTTGATTGAGGCTTCTGCCACTTTGCATCTCATAGGAGGCATGGAATTATCCACTGAAACTGACATTCGTACCATTAATTATTAGGGACAGTAGTGCTATTGTTACCTTGTTAAGTCATCTCCTGTACCTAGTCTTCATATAAGCTGTGGTTTTGCTTCACTTTACTACGTCTGAAGAAGTGGACGTATCCACAAAGGTTCATGTTGAAATATAATTGTGTGTCTTTATGGTGCCACAACTTTTTTCTTTTCCTTTTCTTCTAATTAATTTTTGTCTAGATTGCTTGCTCAGACTAACATAGCTACTTCTTTGAAAACTCCAAGTAATCCAGTGACCAGGAGGCTAGACTTTTTGGAGGGTTCCATCCATTTTAAGAGATGGATAGTTCTTTCTTCCCATGCTATAGCCCTGGCATTTTCTGTGACTTTTCAAGATCCATAGAAAAACTTTACCTTGAATTTAATCTGGGAGGGGTGGGATGGTAGCAAAAAAGTGGATGTGCATTTGATATAGATGCTTTGAATGTTTCACTATTAGCTGCTACTTCTGTGCTACAGCTGTTAGCTGCTACCTGCTAAGTACAGTAATTGATTTCATGAATAGGAGTTTATTTCAAGCATCCTGTAGTGTATTTCTACAAATTTGTAAAGTGATACATCTACCTCTGTTTGCATGGGCTCAACTGTACCAGTGGTTCTTAACCTTGAGTTACGTAGGTGTTTTTGGACTGCAACTCCCAGAAGCCTTCACCACCAGCTGTCCTGGCTGGGGTTTCTGGGAGTTGCAGTTCAAAAACACCTGAGTAACCCAAGGTTAAGAACCACTGAACTATACCACATTGAACTGCCACACTCATGTGCAGTGGTTGGTGACCACCGCTATAGTTCTTAAGAGTTTATGGTTGTGTGGCCCAGCTGGTCTTGATAGCTTTAGAAAAATATTGTTCTTTTTCAAAACCGTTTGCTTAGGTTTTGGCAGTGTTTCTTATACGTCAGCATATAGTCCAAAGTAACACCTAGGTATTTGGGGAAAAAACAATTATCCACAGTAGGACCCTTATATCTGCAGAGGATAGGTTCCAATGCCCCCCC